ATAAACTTGCGAGCACTAGACGGAAGATTTGTTCTAGTGGGGGAATCCTCAGTAGTGCACATCAATGACTCAGCACGCAGGATTCAAACAATATGCTAATTTAATGAAATATCATGAATCACTATGTTATTTTTGATTCATATTGTGATTCTTGCTCTCTTCAAAATTGTTCTATTATGAATTGTAAACATGATGTAATAAATAATGTAGAAAAGCCCCCCCAAATGCCCTGGTACGGCCGAGAGTGGGGAGAGTCCGCTCTCCCTCTCGAAATGCTCTCACATGGCCACGCGTACACAGCCTCTGCCAGGGAAGTCCTACTCCCTGCCTTCTCATGGTGGGGGTGTTGTTTACGAAACTGATAAGACAGAAAGCTCCGGTTTGGGCACCCGGGCAGTATCACAGCCCTCACACATATCAAATGAGATCTGTGTGGCGCATATGTATTTGGTGCCTTCTTGTACCGATATTTATGTGTTAAAATAAAATAAATAAATAGGGAAGTCCTACTCACTGCCTTCTCGTGGCGGGGGTGTTGTCTAAGAAAATGAGAGGACGAAAAGCGAATATCCGGCGCTTCAACCGGATTCCAAACCAATGGTGCACATGGGCTCCAGTATCCTGAAGGAACAAATGGCGTATGAACCAATTGTTGGTCACCGGCTACCATGGGACTGCATCTCCTTACTATACCCCACTGCCTTGTGGGTCAGACTTTCAGGTCGAAGGCTCGGAGTGTGGCCCCTTAAGAAAACCACGTGGTTCGGTTTGGGCACCCGGGCAGTATCACAGCCCTCACACAAATCAAGTGAGATTCGTGTGACGCATATGTATTTGTTGCCTTCTTGTACAAATGCCTATGTGTTAAAAATAAATAAATAAAATGTAGGAAAGGCAATAAATGGGAATCTATCTGCAAAGAAAAGCTGATTTTAGCATAACATTGGTGTTTTTTTCAGAGATAATTGTCTTAATTTTCTCTCAAAGAGCATCACTCACTCCTAACATGATGTAATTGTTATTTAGCTGAAACTGTTTACGGGTTCAAACAATCAAAAGCCATTTTCGAACAAAACTGTCTGAATAGTAGTAGTACAAGTAAATATTAAATAAAAACAGACATGTGTAAATCGAATCAAACAATAGAATTCTTTGGAAGTAACAGATGTAAGCATGGATAAGAAAAGGCACCTTTATGGGCATAAAACAATGCAGTGGATAAGATACACTTACGTAATTGATTTTGATAAAACTTAATTATTGATGTGAATGGCAAATTAAAATTGTGATCACCTTTACTTCACTTTTTGACGTCATTGCCTTCCATAATCTTTAGGACAGACATGTGATGCCAGTGTAGGTCAGCTTTTATATAAAAACAATATCTACATATATACAATATCAACATGTAAGTCCTTCTCACAAGTTGCTATAGTAGTGAAATAATTCTATAATAATGCACTTTCTATTGCATTACTGAACTAATAATTCTTTATCATTTCATAGTAGCTGAAGGATTTCTGACTAAATATTATAGGTGGGTTAATAGAGTTATGTACATTGGGTGACTGGACATGAATTGGATCATCATTGTTTATGTAACAGTCAATGAAACTAGTTGACTTCCTGAAGCTTAGTAAATGAACCATTGCTCAACCATCTGACCTATTGGTTGTAAATCGAAAGAGTTTAATCATTAAGCTACTGTCTCAGGAAAACTTATACTGGTTTATTAAGTCATTAACTATCAGTGTGTAGCTTTCCTAGTTTATGATCCATAGAATGTATGTGGTTTATGCTTGGAATCTTGAATTGACATAGCTTAAAGTAGAATGCACTAACATAGGTGCATTCACTTATCCTCCTGAGTTTTATATTTCATGTTACCGATTTCTATTTTTTGAATTGTATCTTTAATTATTAAAATAATAAATCTGTGAAATGTTCAGTTTTTAGTTTACCAAACAAAAACTGACCGGAGGTAGAAAAGTGTGAATCATTGGATAGTGCTATTGTTGGGGACGTTAGATCCCCAGAACTCACTTGGGAAAGGACCTAATTAAGTAATTTTTAGAAAATTTGAAGTTCTTCGTTTTCGCGCCAAAGGCGCTCTTGTCACACTAATGTCGTATTCACCACTTGGGAAGTATCTTAAATTCTATTGGTCCGTTGCGTCTTTTAGTATGCTATTTTGTTAACTCTCCCCAAGGACGGTTTTGTACTGTATATATATATATATGTTTTGAATTGTGTTTGTTGTTATCGCTCGTTTCTGGTTGTTTGCAGAATATCCTTTTGCATTCCAAGCTTGGACTTTTTCCTCTAGTTAGCGGGGTTGGGATGCATCAAATAGCTAGCTTACTGGTCTTTGGTCACCGAATGTTTGTTCTCGTTCGCAGATTAAGTAAACTCGTGTTAGCTTCAAACCTAGCAGCTATTAAGCAAACACAATTGTTCCGAGGTATGATTGTTCTGAGTTTGATCTCACATTGGGTGATGTGCACACAACTGATAATTTCTATTTTCTTTGTATGCAAATTTTAATGAAATCAATAGTATTATTTCATTTAGTAGTCATAATCAATATAGAACCTATCATGCATATACATTAGCCTAAGTTGTTTCATACATCAGCACAACAAGATGAATTGATCGACACAAATATTTAAGTAAGACTTTCAATTCATTTACTATTATTTCGTTGTTGCTGATCCAAAACAGATCAAATTGAAGTAATGCATTTGTGATCAAATCTTATATTTTTATAACTGACTAATTAAATCACATTTTTACTAGTAAGAGTTCAAATCATTTCGTTATTATATTGTGTATTTGAACACATAAATATTGGTACAAGGGGGCACCAAATATATATATGCGCCACACAAAACAATGAGAATTTAAGGAGAACGGAAAAAAGGTAATTAACGTAGGGAATTATAAAAAAAAGAGAGAGAACAATAATGGAGGAAACGGAAAGGTACAATCAGAAAAAATCTTTCAGTTAAGGAAGAAGCAACAACTTTTTATGAAGAAAGTAAAAGAAGATTACAGCAGGATCGGCACTCGCCTCTATTGTGAGACATATCTGATAACGTTTCTAGCCACTGTCACACCATCTCTCGGACCCCAACCAGGGAGTCGTGAAGGACCAACAGAAGCTAGCCCTTCGCAGCTTTCTTTCATACCACGAAACCATGTCACACACTGACCACCTCTCCGCTTTTTCCAACCAGTCCCACAGTCGGCAAATAATGCACGACGAGGAATTCTCTGGGACGACATTCGTAGAACATGTCCAAGCCACCGAAGTCGGTGTATCAACATGGTGACACCAATTGCATTATCGTCTCTGTGCCCGAACACACGATGCCGAACCTCTGCATTACTAGCATGGTGTTGCCACTGAATGTCAGCAATACTTCGGAGACAGCGACGATCGAACACAGAGAGTCGTCTAACATCCTCAACTCGGAGAGGCCAGGTTTCACAAGCATAGAGCAAAACTGCTCTCACCGTCGCGTTGTAGATCCGACCTTTTACAGCCAGACTAACATTACGAAGGCGCCAAAGATGGCCCAGGTTGGCATAAGCCGCTCTGGCCTTCACTATACGTGCATTGATCTCATCACTCACGCCACCACCAGCACTTATGCAGCTACCTAGATACACGAACTTCTCGACTACTTCTATTTGCTCACCATCCAGAGTGAGTACAGGATTACAATCCTACCAGTCTTGTAGAAGTACTTTGCGCTTCGAAGGTGCAAAGCACATACCATACCTACGGACATTGATTGCCAACTGATTAAGTGCGGATTGCATGGCTTGAACATTCTCGCACAGTAAGACAATATCATCCGCATACTAAAGGTCGAGAAGTCTTTCTCCAGGCAACAGATTCACACCACCATTACTTACATCCATCAGAGCTGTTTTCAGAATGTCATCGATGGCAAAGTTGAAGAGGAATGGTGAGATTGGGCAACCCTGTCTAACCCCACTGCTTGAATAGAATAGTGGAGAAAGGTGGTTGTATGCCCTCACTCTGCATGAGGTGTTTGTGTATAATGCATTTAGTATGTTAATAAACTTCTCAGGCACACCCTTCTTCAATAGACAATCCCAGAGAACAGTCCTATCCAACGTATCGAAGGCAGCCCTGATATCAAGAAACACTACGATTGTTGGCCTTTGATAATTATGGTGATGTTTTAAAATTTCGTAATTAACAATAAACAAATTAGCGACTATTTAAACTTAAAAATGTAAATGGATAACAAGTTAAAATCTAAAGTGAAAAGTGTTAAGTTCACATCCCAAAATAAAACGTTCATCTTAGAGATTTCATTATTAACTATAACTCACTTGGAAAAAGAAAACCCCGGAAAACGTTTTAGCATATTTAAAGTTTATTGATAACATTGATTCTTTCTGGACGGTAAATAACATATTAATAAAACAACGATACATCAAAGTTCAAATAATAATAATAATCAATGAGAAATAAACAAACAATAATAGCAACAACAATTCAAAGGATAATTGAACACAGAAAAGAAAAATAACAAAAATAGAATATTAAAAGAAATATCACCGAGTACAACATACATACACGCACACACACACACATTAATAAACAAGAACAAAGATAAATAATCACAAGAAATACGAAATAAAAAAAAAGAAAGTCAATTGACTTGATTCACACAACAGAATACTATGTCGACACACACACACACTCATGCACACTTACACATGGCGGTTACCACAACCGCATTATGATGAAAGTAGAATTTCATAATTATTTTTCAAATAAATATTCAATTATGAAGCTAATAGCATTGAAATTCAAGTTTAAGACAGATAGATAGATGATAGTTTTTTTTTATTGGACAGAGAAAGCATACCCACACACACACACACACATTTCAATTGCCTTCAAATAAATTTTGCACATTTTTTGAATCTAAGCATGATTTACCATCAAGACGATTAACTATATGTTTTTGTCCGTTTAACTGTTAATTTATGTAAATAGAAGAAAAAAAAAGAATATTACAATCAATCAACTGTTAGATGTAATGTATTGTAAATAGGGTAGTTGATAACATCTTATCGAACGGTAAAGTTTACACTAATATTCTGTCATTACTGGTCATTAAAACAATCAACAGATAAAAGATCATCCATTCTGGTTTAAATTTGAACACAGTGTGATTAAGCTTGTCTGATTGTACCGCGGTACAATAGTGCATTTTCAAAAAATGCTTATCTTTCCATAATAGAAAGATAAGGGTTATAAAAGGTCAACTCTTAGTGCAGTACACCATTTGTATTTTTGGTACAGGGAGTAAGGTCTGAAAAGCTAATAGAGAGCTATTCACAAAAAATTTGTAATCAATCTTATTACATAGTCACTTCCCGATTTGGAAAGAAAAAGCTTTGGTATGGAGGAAAATGGTTGTTCACATACTTCCAATAATATTTCAGACAGGGAAACTTTACAAGTGGTGCCCCGAAATATCAATGAAAAGATGAATGACGATTGTCACAAAGGTTACATCAATCAGTCGTTTATGTATGGATAACTCTTGGAGGGAGGGGTATAGTGTCATATCATATATTTATAACTTGACTAGTAGTCTAATCAAGTTTAATTTCTTCAAGGATCCTTTCATATAGAGAATGCAATATAATTTCCATTTCTCAGCATCTAAGTACAGATATCTGGGAATGACCTTAAACCAAATGAAAGCAGTTGTATCAAGGGGTTTGAAGATGAAAATCATTGAGTAAAAGTATTGTTTTACAAATAGAAAGCCACCCCCTTGTTTTCTTCCACCCACCCTCCGTCAAAAAAAAGAAATAACAAAATATAACAGAAATGTAGCTATAAATTGATTCTGAATCGAAAAAAATTAACTATTGTAAATCATCATCAAAACTATAAGAAAACAATCAGCCCCATATAAAACAAATCTCACTTACAAATGATAATGATAGTAATGTAGGCAATTCTTTAAGTTGATAAAGTGGATGAATTCGAAATTTGTTATTAGAATCATTCCACCTTCACACAAAAAGAAAATATAAGAAATAAAAATCTTTACGTGACGATAAAATTTAAAGAAATATCAACCAATACTAAATAAGTAAATAATGAATAGTTGACAGATACAAATCAGTTTATCTAGTCTTTCAATGGCTGAGATCATGAGTCAATTAAAGCTAGACCACCATTGAAAACCTGGAAGCACTGGACGACCGTTTCGTCCTGGTATGGAACTCCTTAGCAGTGCTCATCCACAACCCCCTCCCTGAGAGACTCGAACCCAGGACCTATTAGTCTCGCGCGCGAACACTGTTCATTTTCTATTCTCGATTTCGAATTCTTAAAATTCTTAATACATACATTCCCACGCTATGTTTTAAATAATATTTTCAGTCTTTCTTTATATCATCGCTTTTATACTACATGGATCTCACTTGGTAATTTCACTTCGTTGTGCTAATGTGATATGGAAATTTGTGAAAACGAATGTCTGTGTCAGGCCTCTATGTTAATGATATCTATCTGTTTATCTAGTCCTTAAAGTTGGATATTGTAACTAGTGAACCATTGTTTCTAAAATAAAATTGCTTTATAAGACAACAATTTATAAATGATCCTCAGTTTTGAAAAAAAACTATCAGTTCACCTTTTTTCTTCTTAGAAAAAGCTCATTGATTGATTCAGCTTAACCAAAAATGGTGTGAACAATCTATCATGATATAATGGACAAAACTATACAACTCAGAGCTTGTATCTACCCACAACATCATTATCATCAGAAGGAATGTATTTTACTACTAAATCGTCAAATCAGAATGAAGCAGCTAACTGTTTCAGGTATTCATTTTACAATAATAGAAGTTCAAATGAAAATCTAAGACAAAATAATGGCAAATTCCTTACTCCTTTTCGTTGCCAACTTCAACCATCAAAAATAAATCACTATCCTTAGTAACTCCAATCGTACTTTCTAGAATAGATTCACCTATGTAATGGTAAATAATAAATATGATAAAAAAAATAAAAACACATACATATTACTGATAAAAAAATCCAACATTTTAAACAAATTCTTTATAGGTGTTATCAAAACACTCCTCATGTATCGTGGACTAAACGACTGAAGGACATTGACGTTTGATTTAGGCGAACAAAATAAAACGGTTGATAAGACTGAGAATATGCGTCGATTGAAGCGTCTGTATTATGTGTACCATGTACCCGGCTATCGCTTACTTTGAAAAGCGATGTTGACTGAAGGGTAAAATTGGAAGAAAGCTAGAAGCAACTAACTTAAAAAAGATTGAGAAATGTTGATAGATCTAAACTGCCCAATTGAAGTGCATGCAATAACTGAGATTAATAACTATAGACGCTGGATAGCATGTTTCAGAATTATTCAAACAGACATACATACATTTAGCTTCGTACTGTAATAAGGTTCGATATTATGTAACACTCGAACTGATGTACGTACGTACGAAGTTCTACGTTGTTACTAACTGACTGACTAAGAAAATTGAAACAAAGCATTTAAACAAAAACATAAATACACCTACGACAGATAAAATAGAAAGCATCTTTTGAATTACATATTCAAAATAAAACTTACATTTACAACAATCCTCTGACCAACTATCCCCAGTGTTCATATCAGTTGAACCAGTAAAATAAACGAACACATGACGCCCATTTTTATGAGCTGATTCAATTTGACTAGCGAGTTCATCAATAGATTGAACTAATAATTGTTCTATAGGCATATTACTATAAACAAATAAATAAGAAAAGGATATGTTTGTTCTGTTTTCATATCTATCAATTGTGGTAATATAAATAAACAAAAATACAGTAACAACAATAGCACCTCAAAAAAAAAAATGTACTATATATATGATAGCGGCTGTCACTTCCCGGTTGTACATACGATGAAAATATACTTCTTGAAGTGCTTGAAAAAAAAAACTAGCATAAGAACGATCTTGACAACCTGACACGATGACCTTAATGTCCAAATAACAACTGCTTTGGACCACTCGCATAGTCTCTTTTAAATAGTTTTATATGAATTAGTTCCATACTTTTAGGGTCTTATTATCAGAGATGGAAATCCGTGGGTTAAGAACGACTGTTACTTTTAGGGTCAACCATTTTTAGGCTCTCTCCTACATTTGTAGGAGAACAATACAACTATGGATGCAAGTTATCTGAGGGAAATAATTAAACTCCCATTACATCCCAATATAATTGGTTGTATTGCTTCGCCCTCGGACTACGAACTTGTAGTCTTTCTTTTTACGGCTCTCCTACAAAAATAAAAGAGCCAATATTTCAGGCTTTGTGGTCGTAATGATATGCAGACCCGGGTATCATATCAACTTAACAGCCACGGTCTCAATAGACGATGCTACGTACTAAAACAGAATAGTCGACCAGAAACTCGTGATTTACTGAATATGTGAATGAGCAAATCATAATTTGATTGACATCATATCAATGATAATTTAAAAAGTTTCAAGCATTTATTTCACTGAATAAAGTATCTCTATTTTACGATAACTACACAAGCTAAAGATATAAGAAAGCCCCCAAATGCCCTGGTATGGCCAAGAGTGAGACGGGCCAGCCCTCCCTTTCGAAATGCTCTCACACGGCCATGCGTACACAGCCTCTGCCAGGGAAGTCCTATTCACTGCCTTCTCGTGGCGGGGGTGTTGTCTAAGAAAATGAGAGGACGAAAAGCGAATTTCCGGCGTTTTAACCGGATCCAAAACCAATGGTGCACATGGGCTCCAGTATCCTGAAGGAACAAATGGCGTATGAACAAATCGTTGGTCACCGGCTACCGTGGGACTTCATCTCCTCACGATGCTTCACTGCCTTGTGGGTCAGACTTTCAGGTCAAAGGCTCAGGGCGTGGTCTCCTAAGAAAATCACCTGCTTCGGTCTGGGCACCCGGGCAGTATCACAGCTCACACATAAATAAAATTTTGTGTGGCGCATATATATTCGGTGCCCTATTGTACCAATGTTTATGTGTTCGAATAAATAAATAAAAATAAAATAAGTGTATTTTATGAAGAGATTTTGTTTGAAAGTATATGTTACTATTAGCAAAAGAAGACAGTATTTATATACACACCCCAACTTCAATAAACTTTCAACGCGGAACCAATGAAGTATAGACACCTACAGAACTGAAAAGGAATGATCGAGAGGTAAATATATGTATAACCAGGAAATCTACGTGAATATTTAAGGAAATAGTGTTAAATGGGTCATTTTAACACGTTGATACAAATTCTTACGTAAGAAGTCACTGCTTATGTAACTTCAATTATCAAAAGTAAACTTTATTTCGAAAAAAAAGGCAAAACAGAAAATTGATGAGTGATTTAATATCCGAGAGAGAAAGAAGGAGAATGTACTATGTAACATTAATAACAACAATAGTTGTTTAAAAAGTTTGTTTCTAACGATACCTATAAAAATGGTAACCGAAACATAAAGCGCTTTACTTTAATTGTTATTATTTTTATTATTTATTTGAACACATAAATATTGGTACAGGGGGGCACCAAATATATATGCGCCACACTATTTCATCATGTTTTGGTGTGTGGGCTGAGATACTGCCCGGGTGCCCAAACCGAAGCAGGTGGTTTTCTTAGGGGGCCACACCCCGAGCCTTTGACCTAAAGGTCTAGTCCACAAGGCAGTGGAGCATCGTGAGGAGATGCAGTCCCATGGAAGCCGGTGACCAAAAGTTGGTTCATACGCCATTTGTTCCCGCAGGATACTGGAGCCCATGTGCACCATAGAATTGGGATCCGGTTATAGCGCCGGACATTCGCTTTTCGTCCTCTCATTTTCGTAAACAACACCCCCGCCACGAGAAGGCAGTGAGTAGGACTTCCCTGGCAGAGGCTGTATACGCGTGGCCGTGTGAGAGTATTTCGAGAGGGAGGGCGAACCCTCCCCGCTCTCGGCCATACCAGGGCATTTGGGGGCTTACTTTAATTGTGATAGTTTTAACTCTTAGTTAAAGATAAAAGTGAACAAGAAATTAAATTGATCCTATTGAATGATTTGTAAATTCATAAAGCACGTTTAATGATACGTATTAATCAATGCATTACTGTTTGAGATTAGGAATATTCTAACATAGTTCAGTTTATACAGTCTACTATGAAATATTTATTATCGTTAAAACACAAAAAAAAAAACGAAATGGAACGAATAAGAAGGTTTATCAGACGATAATTCAACATGAAGATCCAATCAATAACAATAAGTCAACGACATAATACTTCTATTACTGATAGAAAACTATGAACAATATTTGATGTAACAGATATTCACTGAATACTGTTTTCATTGTTGTCAAGATAAGTAATTATAATACTAATTACAATATGAAAATGAATAAATGGAAAATGTTAATTTTACTTAGTCAGCTACAACGTAGGATCAGGTAATATATATGCATCAGTCTAAGTTGCCACATCTTATTAGCAAAACAAGGTGAAGACTAAATTCATATAGGCAGTTGAATGATAGTAAAAAAGATTGTATATAAGGATATGATACAGGAAGGAAGAATTAGTTCGTGGAAAGAAAGATATAAAGCAATTTCAATCTCACAGTTTGAAAGAGGACAAAGAGTGTATACACCTACGCTATTGTGATTGATTTTGAGTCATGTATCATCCAGATCCTCGAACCACTATTTACAATAGTCGCGCGGATTCCAATCAAGCAGTCTGCATCTATTAACATGGCTAAGACTAGAAGCTAGTGACTTGAAAGATTAATGCCATGTTTTGGTTTGACCACCTCTTAACTTCTAATTGTTTTTAGTTAGTCAGTAGTAAAAGTAACTTAAAAAAACATGCTATAAAGTTGTAGAAATAAGTAAACCTGTATGACAATCTAACTATATGTATTTTAACTTCATCAGAAAAAATAGTGTCAATGGAAGAATAACATAAGATCAGATGTTTATGTTCCAGTACAAATTATCACACATCATATCAATGTATCGAAAGGAAAAGGCGAGATGAGAAACAATACCAAAAGCAATAAAAGTTTAAACATGAGAATTACCAATATCAAAGATAGAAATGGTACTTAAATTAAGATTTAGATGAGCAAAAGAATAAATGTAATTGATTCACAGAGAGATTTTATATTATCGAACAACATATCTAACCACTAATTACGAATACTAAGTGATCTCTACTCAGAAAACTCTTACTGATTTAGATCAGAGGTCAATAAGTTAATGAATTAACACCATATCGCGACTTATTCATCCTTAGTGCTTTCCAACCTAATCACATATCGGAAAGTATTGCACATTTAATCAGAGATAGAGATCGGGCATATGTAATACGTTTCCTAACGAATATAATCAATGAAGGATTTTAGCTATATCACTGTTCTAGTACCATGCGCTTACTCCAAGTATCATTTATTTGATGGTTCAACCATATGCCTCGAAGATAGCTATGATAGAATACTTCCAGTCCATGTTTATCGTCTACTTCAATAAGGAACATTTCACAAACTTAAAGCAATATAGAATGGAATTCTATGAAATGACTCACCAGGGCTAATCAAAATTCCAAAATAAGTGAAGTGATTAATGAACTGAACTACATCATTCACTATGGTGTTACTAGGAATCGATGCAGACCAGTAGTCCTGAAATAACACATTGTATTTAAAAGGAAATCCATACGGATCACTACCAAGTGATTAATCAATTTTAAATATATCTAAGACCCAAAACAGGTCAGAAATGGCCCAGAAGACCAAATAGTCACGTCTCTGACTGTGATGCTGGGTGACATAGGATCGAATCCGTCGGAAAGCATCAGTTCCAAAAGATCACAGATACACCTTGGTGATGCGTGCGTTAAACAGCATGAAATCTAGGTCCAAAATATCATGTCGACTACCTCTAACTACCTTAGATCACACACAAGTTTTAACAGAGTTTAGAGAATTTCGATCAAGAAATTTCTACACAAAGCACTAATTTTGTAGACTATGTCTAGATTGGAAATAATTAATAGGTAAATAACCGGTGACTATTTTTAAACCTATCTAATCACATCATTTATTTTACAATAACTCAACAATATATACATATGAACAACTCATATTAGCATCTCAGAAAGTATATGAAACTATAAATTAGAAATATTGACAAACAGATCAGTATTTGCCCAACTACTAAAACTCAATGAGTATACCAACACATACACAAACAGACAAATAGACAGATAAACAAACAAACACATATATGTATAGGGTGAAAACAATGCCGATCATCAGGAATTCTGAGATTGAAAACAACAACATAACAGATTGAAACAAAGAACAAAGTTCACAATTAAATGCATCATATATAATTTCTATTTTTATAAAATAACAGAGGTATATATATATATATATATAATAAGAATTAAAAGTAACCATGTTAATATTGAACAATTTATAATTATCCTTCCTAATTATCAAAACAATTTGTTTACATATAGAAATATGAACTAAGTAAATAAATTAAGAAATAAATATTTATTTATGCTGTTTAAGTGTAATGGCAATTGTAATAACAGTGGTAATGATGATGATACTGTTGTTGCTGTTGTTGACGATGATGATGATGTACACACATAATTGGCTGAAACATTTGACAATTTTCAAGTAGAATTACAAGCGAAACTGATATAAGAGAAAATGATGATGATTACTATTATTATAAAAAATATTAATGATAAATGAACAACACTCTAAACTGATGTACTGTAGCACATAGCAACAACCGGTTGACACACATATATATATAATTAGAGTGAAACAATTGTTAACGATGAATAAGGGGAAAAAGTACAATGATTCATATATATATGAAAGTGAACGTTTAAACCATGACAACGTTCACGAACAAACCACTATTAGGAAAATTATTATGCATGCAATTTATATTACAATATATATATGTATATATGCATGTCTATTAGAATAATCTCTGAACATTGAAAAGACAAAGTTTTAAAACAAATTGAGTAATACATCGAAATAGTAATAGTAGTAGTATTAGTGACTGTATATACATTATGAAACTGGAAAAATCAACTATTAAAGTGTTCAATATACACAAGAGAATAATTCATTTTGTATAACTTTACAGATAATAATTCAACATAGTCTCCTGTTTCATTTTCATAATACTTACTATTAATAAAGATAGTTTA